TCTCTAACTCATGAATCATCCAATACTGGCGGATTGTTAGAATGTGGCATTACCAATCAGGTGACAGGGATAACAAGAGACACCGATCTGACATCTCCCGAGCCTGGTGTCCACACTTCCTTAACAGGAACATAATGACATAGCACTCGTTCTACCATCCATCATCAACTCCAACTAAACTGGCATATTTCAAAACGACTGATATAGATGTTGGTCCTTAAAAAATCAGAAGTGAATTCCTGGAGTTTTCTAATTGGAAAATGTTACAAATAAATCTGCATACAATAAATACCTTGGTCCTGAAAAGAACCCATAAAGTCAAGCTAGATAAAAACCCTGTACACAGTTATAACCCAGTCTTGATAAAAACCCTGTACACAGTTATAACCCAGTCTTGATAAAAACCCTGTACACAGTTATAACCCAGTCTTGATAAAAACCCTGTACACACAGTTATAACCCAGCCTTGATAGTAACCCTGTACACAATTATAACCCAGCCTTGATAATAACCCTGTACACAGTTATAACCCAGTCTTGATAAAAACCCTGTACGCAGTTATAACCCAGTCTTGATAAAAACCCTGTACGCAGTTATAACCAAGCCTTGATAATAATCCTGTACACAGATATAACCCAGCCTTGATAATAACCCTGTACACAGTTATAACCCAGTCTTGATAAAAACCCTGTACACACAGTTATAACCCAGCCTTGATAGTAACCCTGTACACAGTTATACCCAGTCTTGATAATAACCCTGTACACAGTTATAACCAAGCTTTGATAATAACCCTGTACACAGTTATAACCCAGCCTTGATAATAACCCTGTACAGTTATAACCAAGCCTTGATAATAACCCTGTACACAGTTATAACCCAGCCTTGATAATAACCCTGTACAGTTATAACCAAGCCTTGATAATAACCCTGTACACAGTTATAACCCAGTCTTGATAATAACCCTGTACAGTTATAACCAAGCCTTGATAATAACCCTGTACACAGTTATAACCAAGCCTTGATAATAACCCTGTACACAGTTATAACCCAGCCTTGATAATAACCCTGTACACAATTATAACCCAGCCTTGATAATAACCCTGTACACAGTTATAACCCAGCCTTGATAATAACCCTGTACACAGTTATAACCAAGCCTTGATAACAACTCTATATACAATAATAAAGCATGCAATAAATACGATCCCTGATATTGTAAAATCCTCATGTTAGATACAAATTAAGGGAAAGTTCTGCTCTGGTTTTGAAGTGCATATTAAAAAATCAATATTGCCAGGCAAATACTGGAGAATGTACCACACAAGGATGTCCTTTATTTACGAAACATTGTTTTTAAGACAGCAAATTTACAGCACTGTGTTCCTGTTGAATGGTACAATTTAAAACACTGTGCCCTTTTTGAAAAGGATAGTCTTGGGTCCTGTGTTCCTGATACAATTTTAAAAACTGAGTCCCTTTTGAATAGGATGATCTTGGCTCCTGTGGGCAGTATCGTGACAGTACAGTAAATGTACATTGACAGAACAGTCGTGGATAATGACACACCAAGGTGGTACAGTGACGGTACAGTGACGGTACAGTGTCGGTACAGTGATGGTACAGTGACGGTACAGTGACAGTACAGTGATGGTACGGTGATGGTACAGTTACAGTACAGTGACAGTACAGTGACAGTACAGTAATGGTACAGTGAGGGTACAGTGACAGTACAGTGATGGTACAGTGACAGTATAGTGATGGTACAGTGACGGTACAGTCATGGTACAGTGACAGTACACTTACAGTACAGTGACGGTACAGTGACGGTACAGTCATGGTACAGTCATGGTACAGTCATGGTACAGTGAAGGTACAGTCATGGTACAGTGACAGTACACTTACAGTACAGTGACGGTACAGTGACGGTACAGTCATGGTACAGTGACAGTACAGTGACGGTACAATGACAGGACTGTGATAGATTAGCGATGGTATTTTACAATGCTGGTTTAGTGACAGTTAAGCAATAGTTCAGCCTTAGTATTTATCGAGATCCTTTTTGACAATACATGAGATTTCCTAATTTTTGCCTTATGGCACTCTGTCCTGTAGTCAAACAACTAACTCATCTCAAACTGGTTTCTTATTCAAGAAGGCCATGACCCAAAGACATTTCTGGAGATAGCAAAGGCTATTGATCAAAGTGCTAATTTTTATCTTAATTATTTTCACTAAAAAGTGAACTTTTGTCAAATAAATATCTCACTTCTTATCAGTCACATTTTCCATCATTTCCCTATCCTTAGTCTATTAACATGAACAAATTACTTGCTTTGAAACCATCAGAATGAATTTTGGCTATATACAATGATGTTCATCACTTCATAATTCATTCAGTTATTTACCTATGTATTTAACTAACAGGTTTTACATCCACTATTATAGCTGTTTGGACTTTCAGCAAGGGCTCCATAACAATACAACCCTGCCTATATATATAGCTCCATCCTTACTGCCCCTGCTATATATAACTCCATCCTTAAAGCCCCTGCTATATATGGCTCCATCCTTACCACCCCTGCTATATATAGTTCCATCCTTATCTCCCCTGCTATATATGGCTCCATCCTTACCGCCCCTCCTATATATAACTCCATTTTTACCACCCCTCCTATATATAACTCCATTTTTACCACCCCTCCTATATATGGCTCCACCCTTACCTCCCCTCCTATATATAACTCCATCCTTACCACCCCTCTTATATATGGCTCCACCCTTACCACCCCTCCTATATATAACTCCATCTTTACTACCCCTCCTACTCCATTTTTACCACCCCTCCTATATATGACTCCATCCTTACCACTCCTCCTATATATAACTCCATCCTAACCACCCCTTCTATATATGGTTCCATCCTTACCACCCCTCCTAAATATGGCTCCATCCTTACCACCCCTCCTATATATAACTCCATTTTTACCACCCCTCCTATATATAACTCCATTTTTACCACCCATACTATATATGGCTCCATTTTTACCACCCCTCCTATATATGGCTCCATCCTTACCACTCCTCCTTAATATGGCTCCCTCCTTACCACCCCTTCTATAGATAGCTCCCTCCTTACCACCCCTACTATATATGGTTCTATCCTTACCACCCCTCCTAAATATGACTCCATCCTTACCACCCCTCCTATAGATAGCTCCCTCCTGACCACCCCTCCTATCTATAGTTCCATAATTACTATCTCTCCCATGTATGGCTTCTTTGATTATCACTTGATACTGACTAATTTGAAGACAGAATTAGTAGTTACTGTTTTTAACCGATAAATCTGCATATCAACACAAAATCTGAGTAAATCTACAGATAGAGAAATCCTAACTGTACAGACATTGATAAAGGGAATCACACACTACTAAATGTGAAATAAGTCTGTGTTTCTCTCTCCATTCGGTACCTGGAAGACACATGTGTGTTTCAATTTGATATCTGAAGTCTTTTTGTATGACTGTATAGCAAACGAAACACAGAAAGTAGCATATGTATTTGTAACCATTAAATCTCTTATATGACTATTTTTGGCATCTGTGAAAAGTGAGATCACATTCCATGGCAACCAAACTTTGATATTCAAATATCCTACAGCTGTTGCCATCTTATTTTTGTAGCAACGCGAAAATCAATAAATAAGCAAATAAATAGATTTAACCAAAATTCTGCTCCACTGTGGAGATGTTCTGGGTTTGTCACTATGGAGCTGTTCTGGCTCTGTCACTGTGGAGTTATTCTAGCTATTCAATACAGAAGAGTTCTGCCTCTGTCACTATGGAGCTGTTCTGCATCTGTCACTATGGAGCTGTTCTGCATCTGTCACTATGGAGCTGTTCTGCATCTGTCACTATGGAGCTGTTCTGCATCTGTCACTATGGAGCTGTTCTGCATCTGTCACTATCAGTTGTTCTACATCTGTCACTATGGAGTTGTTCTAGCTCTGTTACTATGGAGTTGTTCTGGCTCTGTCACAGCTGAGGTTTATCTGGCTCTGTCACTGCTGAGTTTTATCTGGCTCTGTCACTATGGAGTTGTTCTGGCTCTGTCACTATGGAGTTATTCTGGCTCTGTCACTGCTGAGTTTTATCTGGCTCTGTCACTATGGAGTTGTTCTGGCTCTGTCACTATGCAGTTGTTCTGGCTCTGTCACTATGGAGTTGTCCTGGCTCTGTCACTGCTGAAGGTATCCTGGCTTTCTCATTGTGGCAGCGTCCTGGTCAGTACATGCAGCTAAATGTTTTTTTCAGGAGAGATATATTTTGGTTTGAATTTGATGCTGACCAGTGCTGACAAGGCAGAACGCATGCTTTGTGAGGGAGAATCTGCTCTACTAAGGAATGATGTGCAGGGGGAAAAAGGTATTACAAAACCATTCTCAATTTTAAATATTTCCTGTCATGGAACCTTTGATTAATTGATTGAACGGTTACCAATAGTCATGGAAATATTTACTCAAACCCTGAATGCTTTTCTTTAGAAAAACTTTTATCAGTGCCACTTTTTTGTCTTGAAAATTTCTTTTGACAACTTCCCTGAAAATTTCTCTTTATCTTGATCAGTCAATCATGTGTTCAGTAATATAGAGGTTTGGGGTTCGATCCCTAATGGAGGTATCAAATAATGACGTCTGTGGACTGTGGGTAACTTTTGAAAGTTGGCTGAGGTTCTAGAATCACCTGGTGGTGAGTTACATGGTTATAAAATGTTCTATTGCCTAAAAACTATTTCTCTAAATATTAATGAAATTTTTTTTTAATATGAAACATTATGAAAGGAGAAACACAGGAAGAGTAAATTTGAACTGAAGTCATTATTAGAGAAACACACTGGATTCAGAAGGACATTAAGACATCCCATCCAGGTACTTCTTTTGCAATCCTGGACCAAGCAGTCGTAATACTGGGTATGGAAGCATGCATTCATGTACGTACCTTCAATGTCTCGTACAGACGGACAATATTAGGGTGACGTAGCTGACCGAGGATTCGAGCCTCACGATGAAGGTTCTGACGCACATACTCCTCCTTTATTTTTCTAGTATCTATAATCTTTATAGCCACCTGTAAATAAAAAAACAAAAAGAAAAAATTAAAACGGTAACGTAACGTACAGCTTTATTGTAAGTCTTCATTACTGGGTATACAACTATGTTAATCTACCCTAATTATAAAACTTCTACACAAGTTTAATCTTAATTGATTCAATCACCTGAAATATATGACCTGTGAGGACAGGTAAAAACCCAATAATGTCGGCTCTATATGTAGATACCATTAACGTGTGATTTGTCATCATTTACAACATCTGTAATGGAAGGTAAAAGCTTGTAGAACACATCTCCGACAGTTCTCCTTAGAACACATCTCCGGCAGCTCTCCATACCACATCCTGATAACATCCCATGCACACACAAGCACCATCAGCAGGAAACCTTGGTTTCTAACTCTTTTTCAACCACATATTTTGGTTTCTTAACATTTCTATTCTAAATCTACTTTTTAAAAAGATAATTTCAGCCACAAAAACATTTTTGGCGGGGAAAAAAATCAAACAATTTGGGAAACAGTTGATTACCACAGAAACTACACTTTTATGGCATTTACAGTGGGATGAATACATTAACAAATATATATTCATTTCATTGATTTAAACTAAAGCTTACATGGCTATCAATCAGACACTTGGAAATATATTCCCTGAAACTGACTGTGTAATTTCTTCCCCCAGGGTAACATATACCATTTTTAGATTTCATGTGTAAAACTGACCCTGTGTAATATGTACTGTGTGTAAAACTGACCCTGTGTAATATGTACTGTGTGTAAAACTGACCCTGTGTAATATGTACTGTGTGTAAAACTGACCCTGTGTAATATGTACTTGTGTGTAAAACTGACCCTGTGTAATATGTACTGTGTGTAAAACTGACCCAGTGTAATATGTACTGTGTGTAAAACTGACCCTGTGTAATATGTACTGTGTGTAAAACTGACCCTGTGTAATATGTACTGTGTGTAAAACTGACCCTGTGTAATATGTACTGTGTGTAAAACTGACCCTGTGTAATATGTACTGTGTGTAAAACTGACCCTGTGTAATATGTACTGTGTGTAAAACTGACCCTGTGTAATATGTACTTGTGTTATAATTACCCTGTGTTGTATTTACCCTGTGTAATATGTGTAATATGTACCCTGTGTAATATGTACCCAGTGTTATAATTACCCTGTGTAATATGTACCCTGTGTAATATGTATCCAGTGTTATAATTACCCTGTGTAATATGTACCCTGTGGTATATTTACACTGTGTTATAATTACCCTGTGTTGTATTTACCTTGTGTCATATGTACCCTGTTTTATATTTACCCTGTGTAATATGTACCCTGTGTAATATGTACCCTGTGTTATATTTACCCTGTGTAATATTTACCCTTTGTAATAGGTACCCTGTATTATAATCACCTGTGTAATATGTACCCTGTATTATAATCACCTGTGTAATATGTACCCTGTGTATTATGTACCCTGTGTAATATGTACCCTGTGTTTAACAGACCAAGTGGAATCCTATGTAATCTGTATTGTACATCAACTTTGATGTCACTACAGCAGTACATGAAGTAAGGACAGAAAGCTTTCATTAAAATAACAATTGATCTTCAATTGTACAAACATGTTCAATTTCAATAATGGAATGTGCTAGAGGATTACATTCTTATCATAGTCATTCCTAAATATGGGAGAATTCTCAAATACAAAAAAAATTTATTTGAACTCCAGCTAATGGAGGTGAATTGTGATTGTTAGGCTTATTTTTTATCAAAAATAAATTTGTGAAAATTAATTAACATCATTTAAGAAAATTATTAATTTTCAGAAGGCTTTCTATAACAATGATAACCAGGTATAAGCAAGATGGACTCTTGTTTAGAAGTTCACCATAATACAGAATGACAAAATTCCATCCACCCAATAATCACTGAGTTGTGACACGAGAAACAGAATCAATGACTCTAGGGAATGCTTACAAAGCCACTACTCCAGTAGAACACTGTTCTATATCTACTATGTCATCAATCAATACACCATTATTTGTCACACTTGGACTATTTTCAGGTAAATTTGTTCCAACATGGTTGATAGGAGCTGAGAGAAATTGTAAGCATTATCCACAGAGACAGAATCTGGTATTATCCCTCAATGTTTATGGTGTGTACTAGCAGGCCGCCCGACAAATGTGTGGAACTCACCATAGATGATTGAATTTGCTATATCTACTTCAACAAAGTAATAAAATGTATGCATTATTAATCCAGCAGTCTTGTTACAGCTTCCATTGGGAAGGTATTACTCCACATTACATAGTAAACAACAGTACAGTCAATATAACATATACCTCTACAGGGCCTGTAAACAACAGATATAAACCCAGTACAGTCAATATAACATATACCTCTACAGGGCCTGTAAACAACAGATATAAACCCAGTACAGTCAATATAACATATACCTCTACAGGGCCTGTAAACAACAGTACAGTCAATATAACATATACCTCTACAGGGCCTGTAAACAACAGATATAAACCCAGTACAGTCAATGTAACATATACCTCTACAGGGCCTGTAAACAACAGTACAGTCAATATAACATATACCTCTACAGGGCCTGTAAACAACAGATATAAACCCAGTACAGTCGATATAACATATACCTCTACAGGGCCTGTAAACAACAGTACAGTCAATATAACATATACCTCTACAGGGCCTGTAAACAACAGATATAAACCCAGTACAGTCAATGTAACATATACCTCTACAGGGCCTGTAAACAACAGTACAGTCAATATAACATATACCTCTACAGGGCCTGTAAACAACAGTACAGTCAATATAACATATACCTCTACAGGGCCTGTAAACAAAAGATATAAACCCAGTGCAGTCAATGTAACATATACCTCTACAGGGCCTGTAAACAACAGTACAGTCAATATAACATATACCTCTACAGGGCCTGTAAACAACAGTACAGTCAATATAACATATACCTCTACAGGGCCTGTAAACAACAGATATAAACCCAGTGCAGTCAATATAACATATACCTCTACAGGGCCTGTAAACAACAGATATAAACCCAGTACAGTCAATCTTTTTGATTTGTCTAGATTTATCGTAACAATCCTAGTATAACAACACTACTGATCTATCTCAAATCAACTTCTTTAAAAAAATGATACTTTCTTTTCCAAATAACCTTGTTGGCTTTCAGCCTCTCATATAAAGCTAAAGCATTCTCCTAAGATGATTTTGTGTCAGTTAAATCTCTTGAAACTGTTAAATTGACCCCTATTCTACATCTGGTTTTATGGCCCCCTACCCAACAGATGGTGCTATTTACCCCTTATCCATAGATGGTGCTATGGACCCCTTGTCCACATATAGTGCTATAGACTACTTATCCATAGATGGTGTTATGAACCTCTTATCCATATGTCAATATGAAAGCCTTTTCCACAAATGATGTTGTAGAACTTCCTATTTCACTGATGGTGCTGTAGACATCCCTATTCCAAAGATGGTGCTGTAGACATCCCTATTCCAAAGATGGTGCTGTAGACATCCCTATTCCAAAGATGGTGCTGTAGACATCCCTATTCCAAAGATGGTGCTGTAGACATCCCTATTCCAAAGATGGTGCTGTAGACATCCCTATTTCACTGATGGTGTTATAGACATGTCTATTCCAAAGATGGTGTTGTAGACCTTCCTGTTCAAAAGATGGTGTTGTAGACATCCCCCTTCCAAAGATGGTGCTGTAGACATCCCTATTTCACTGATGGTGTTGTAGACATGCCTATTCCAAAGATGGTGTTGTAGACCTTCCTGTTCAAAAGATGGTGCTGTAGACATCCCTATTCCAAAGATGATGCTGTAGGCATCCCTATTTCACTGATGGTGTTGTAGACATCCCTATTCCAAAGATGGTGCTGTAGACATCCCTATTCCAAAGATGGTGCTGTAGACATCCCAATTTCACTGATGGTGTTGTAGACATCCCTATTCCAAAGATGGTGCTGTAGACATCCCTATTCCAAAGATGGTGCGGTAGACATCCCTATTTCACTGATGGTGTTGTAGACATCCCTATTCCAAAGATGGTGTTGTAGACCTTCCTGTTCAAAAGATGGTGTTGTAGACATCCCTATTCCAAAGATGGTGTTGTAGACCTTCCTGTTCAAAAGATGGTGTTGTAGACATCCCTATTCCAAAGATGGTGACATCCCTATTTCACAGATGGTGTTGTAGACATCCCTATTCCAAAGATGGTGATGTAGACCTTCTTGTTCAAAAGATGGTGTTGTAGACCTCCATACTCCACAGATGGTGTTATAGACCTCCCTACTCTACAGACGGTGTTGTACATCTCCCTACTCCATAGATGTTGTTGTAGACCTCCATACTCCACAGATGGTGTTATAGACCTCCCTACACCAAAGATGGTGTTGTAGACCTTCCTGTTCAAAAGATGGTGTTGTAGACATCCCTATTCCAAAGATGGTGTTGTAGACCTTCCTGTTCAAAAGATGGTGTTGTAGACCTCCATACTCCACAGATGGTGTTGTAGACCTCCCTACTCCATAGATGGTGTTGTAGACCTCCATACTCCACAGATGGTGTTGTAAACCTCCATACTCCAAAGATGGTGTTGTAGACCTCCATACTCCACAGATGGTGTTGTAGACCTCCCTACTCCACAGATGGTGTAGACCTCCCTAATCCACAGATGGTGTTGTAGACCTCCATACTCTACAGATGGTGTTGTAGACCTTCATACTCCAAAGATGGTGTTGTAGACTTCCATACTCCACAGATGGTGTTGTAGACCGTCATGCTCCAAAGATGGTGTTGTAGACCTCCATACTCCACAGATGGTGTTGTAGACCTCCATACTCCACAGCTGGTGTTGTAGACCTCCCTACTCCACAGATGGTGATGTAGACCTCCCTATTTTTAAAATGGTGTTGTAAATCTCCCTACTTTACAGATGG